AGTCTTTGAAAGTTCATTATTGAACATAATCAGTCCTGCATATTTTTTCCGCGAATGATCACATCAGCCAGAGCGCCTTTGAGACCTGAGAGCAGCAATATCTCTTCCACAGTCTTCTTTGAAACTTGAAAAATTAAAGTCTGAATGACTGGCAAGTCGCTGGGGTAAATAGCAGTCATGAATTGGTTCAGGCTCCAGTCCTGCCAGCTGTCAAAATGGTGCCCTCGGTAAAAAGTCGCGGCGAGAGCTACCCCCCCCGTTGGGGGGTAGCTCTCGCCAGGCAAAGCTGGGTTCGCCTGGCGAGGGCCACCCCCACCGTTGATGCCCGTGTGGCGAGGGCTACCCTGCCCGTGACGGATCCGTAGCGGGGGGGGTCCCTCTCGCCAAGCGAATCTAGAATTGCCTGGCGAGCCTCCCCCCCCAACGGGGGGGGTAGCTCTCGCCAGCCAAACTTTCCGTGAGAAGCCAGGTTTGTCCGGCGAGGGGTGGGCGACGTTTAGCGGTTGCGTTTTGCGGGGCCGACGTTTAAGAGTTGCGTTTTTGTGGTTTTGGGGTAAGATTAAGAAATGTGTGCTGTTAACATAATACCAACGAATGTCTTCATGCATCAAATGTCAAACTTCAGTCCTCTAAGAAGTAGGCATTGATTCCGTGCCATTGTCGTTGCCCTCATTCTTCTTCTTCTTATTCTTGGCAGCTTTTCCTGAGTAGTTCAAAGATGTATCAACAGTTTTATAGATGATAATCTGTGCCAAGTCAAATCTTATAGTTGTTTGTGTCAAAGTGGGTTATAGTATGGATATTTTACTTAGTGCTTCCGAGGCACGGCGAACTCTTCTGGCTTGGTTGGCCATATTCGATGCTTTGGCTGATGGTTTGCCTCCTCGCTTCCTAACCTTACGAACATGTTGTTCGATAGCTGCTGGTCCAGTAGGCATCTCGTCTGTCTGCAACTGTAACTGCCGCGTGATTTCTTCCAACCAGTCCACTGTGTCGGCGAAGGAAGCTGACGAATTCTCTTCCTTGGCCTCATCGAATACACGTTGAAGGCGGCCATTGTAGTCCCGCCATGGACTTCGCGCTGGACTCATTTCTGGGAACGGGTATCTAGCGTTGTCCTGGCCGCTTAAGCTCATGCACAGTTCCAGCGACGATAAGAACAAAAGGAGTCAATTTAAACACTTCAAGTTGACATATATTGAATTCAAACAATGAGTTTCCTTGGTCAAAGGCGTCTCAGGAAAAAGAAGATCTCTTTCAATAAGTTCCCAGAGAGAGGCTGCTCCAAGTCCATAGACGTCAGCCCATGGCCACACTGTTTGTGTTTCCAACGCAGACGCAGGAAGATATTCCATAGTACCGCGCAGAAGGGCCTGTGACGACACAAGATTGACCACTGCTTGATAATCAAAACTAATCACATCCATACAATTCTCAATTCTCAATCAAGGACTCAAGGGCATAATTTTTTCATTGAAACGTGTCAGCCATTTATTCTAGCCAAACGGCATGACTTCCTTTGACAGCCAGTCCAAAGTCGCCCAGTTTTGCATTGTCATCACTTGTCAGAAATATATTAGCTGGTTTGATGTCACAGTGAAGTATTTCGTGACCTTGGCTTGATTGAAAACAACGGTCTTTGACTAAATAATGACATCGTATCATGAAAAAAAACTTGAATTTCTTAGTAAATGAGCCTCAGGCAAACTTCAATGACAAGAGACTGTGCATGAAGTGGATGCCTCCCATGCATTGATGGATCCATTTCCTGCATTTGAGCAAACGATGACGACATGCAAAATGCACACATGTCAAAAAATCAACTGCAGTCAGTCCTTACTATGGAGTTCAAAACTTATGCAAACCGACAACAAATTTATCAAATGCAGGCAGGCCACAGGATGAGTTCTGCTGCAAGAGTCGGCCCTCCATAAATCCGGCTGTGAACATCTCCTCCACCGCAAAACTCCATCTCCACGTACGCTGAGTCTGGATCAGAGGTTCGCCACACCTTGAACATCTGGATCAATGATGGGTGCCTCAGCTTTGCCATTTTCTTTCCTTCTTCTAAGAGCTCCTCATGCGCGTTGGGGGTGAACTTGACCACGCGTAGTTGCCCGTCTGCGTGTTTACCCTTGTAAACCACACCAAAGCCACCTTCACCAAGTCTCTTGACATCCGTGAATCTCGAGGAACGCATGATTCTCAGGAAGTCTATTTCGCCAAGCGCATTAGGCTCGACATCGGCGTGTGGCATGCCGGCAAAGCTCAATGAAAGCGGTTTGGTAAGTATCACGGAAGTATGCCGTGAACTGCCATGAATTGCGTTTTTCAACTTGGCTTGACTTCTTCAAATGACATCGGCTTGATCTAAGAAACGGCTTTTGAGAGCAGAAACAATTTGCAGAATTGCAGAATCAGCTTTTGTCATCAAATGACATTGTGAATTTGCAGAAACTCAGCTTGTGTAACTTCAGAGCCCGATAAAGCCCGGCATCAGCCGGGCCTCGTCGGGCTCTGAAGTCATTTAACGTTCTATACCAGAAAAAGCAAGCTGCGCGCAAGATAGGCATTGTTTGAGCTCGCACGGCATATCCATGAGGCGGTTGCCCATGGGTTGAATCCAATAAACATGCGCTGATATCCATCCCTCAATGCATGATCGCCATCATCATCGCCCCATCACCGCCACATTCATCACCGCCATCGTCGCCCCATCACCGCCGGCCACTCATCACCTTGATCTTTACCAGGTTTGGCTCCAGTGGCTGGCTGGCTCGAGCGGCTCTTGAAAAGCACGTTCATTGCTTGGCATCAAAATGAATTAAGTCTGAGATGAACATGTTCAGCTCTTGAGCCTCTGAATGAAAAAGCAGCAGGTGTTCATTTACCATTCTTCTAGAAATGAAGACAAAGCTTTATGAACGCTATTCAGCCAACCATGGCCAAATGGATTAGAACTTATGCAATGGGCAGGACAATGTATGAATACAACAAAACAAACCCATCTTGACTTCAATGACGCAATCATACATCATATTTTCACCTGGCCCCACCGAGGTGTTCCCTGTATGCCGCATTTACGGCTTGTAGTAACCAGAGTTCTTGAAGTCCATCTTGGAAATACTTTCCAAGAAAGAGGACTTGCAATGATGCCCCGCATCATCCCCGCCAACAACCTTGGCCCGCGCAGCTTCAGTCGTGGTGACCAACTTGATAGTGGCATCGGACCTGTTATCTGCCGGCTTCCACTTGCTGCCTCGAACATTGAAAGCACGCATCACTGTGCCCTCAAAGTCTGGATGTTTTTGATGGAACTGGCTGCTGAAGAAGACCCTTTGCCTTGTGTTGATGGATGCCTTGAACTTGACAAGAAAGCCTGGCTTACCTTGCAAAAGTGAGCCATCCAAGACTCTGAGGCCAAACAAAGCGGCAAAGAGCTTCACGCGTTCTGACAAGGTGGTGCAGTCAGGGACTGCAAAAAGAGTTGCTTCTTTGCGTTCAGTGACTGCAAATAAGTTGTGTTTCATCAGCGAGACTTCTACTTCAGGATCGTTCTGCAGGGTCGAATCCACCCAAATCTTTTGGCCAGTCAGGATGTCCCAATCCATTGGGCCATTCATCTTGGACGCCATCTCATTGAACGACTTATTCCCACGCACCAGCTCTTTGTCCTGCTTCTTCTCCTTTTCCAAGGCGAGGGCTAGATCAGCTTCATCAATTTCTGATTCATCCAGCAGGCCATCACCGAAGCCCTCAACGACCCGCCGGGTTTGCTTGCCTTTCTGAAACTGAAACTCTTTTTCATGACCCTCGCCCCAAAGAGCAGCCACTTGGCTATCTTGACTTGGGTTCAAATCCAAGTCAAAGGACAACGACAAGGCATCATCCAAACCAAGCATAGCGTCGTTCACCTGGTTGTGCCTCAGTCTTTTGAAGCCAGCCTCTGTGCGGGGATCTTCGTCAGGTCCAGGAGGGCGCTTCACTGACTTGTCGACTCTCTTTTTCACATGCGTGCGGGTGGTGCCTCAGATGAATGAAACATACAAATAGTGGCCAGAATAACCACGCCCTATGAAACAACAAACATTGATAAGACTTCAAGGCACCCACATGGCATCGACTGTACAGCTGCAGAGCCTTCTTCACTGTATCATTCATGTCCACCTGGCTTGTTTTGCAAAGTAACATTCGCAAGGCCCGGTCTTCAAATTCTGCGGATGCAGGTGTTTGTCCGCACGTCTTCATTCTCTCGGACTTTGCAAAGTTCTGCTCAACCCCACTCGTGGATGCCTGCCAAGCAAGGTATCGGTACATCACTGGGGCCAGGTCTGAGATGGGGTAAGACTCCTGTGAACGTGATGCGGTTTCAAAAAAGAAAGGCACGCTCATAGATGGTTAATTGATAAAGTGCATTTCAACATCAATTAAAACAATTCGATCCAATCAATCTAGTCAACGCAACATTTTTAAAACAAAGACATAGTTTGACCTTGCTGCTGTCCTTCATTGATCCCCTGTTTTGAGTAGCCAACATGGTGGCTACCCAAGCATCTTTCGCGCTGGAATGGCTTTCTTTGCAATGCTTCTGGGCTAAAGGTCGGAGCCGATCCAGTTGATCCTTCAGTCCACCGGAGCTCACATTGAAGAAGCTGGCCACTCTGTCAATGCTCTCATTCTCAGCACTCTGGAAGAATGTTCTTGTCTTGGCCAAAGAGCTCGTCAGCGAGAAGACCTGGCCACACAGCACGTTCCAAAACTTGAAACCCAAACTCAAAAGTTGAATCCCAAAACGGCCTAAGGCCTCAGACTTGAAACCTCAAAACTATGTAAATTTTCAGGCTGGTCACCCCAAATGAGCTAAATAGTCCATAATGAGGGAACTCCGTCCGCAAGACTTCCAGGGCCAATCGAACCCAAACCTTCATGTGGTCCAAGCATCGGTCCGTCATCTCTTGATCACAAGGTCTGAGCCGTCGAGCATCACCGGAAGCGAAGAAAGCAACCTTGCCTTCCGATAGCATGTCTAAGGTAAATTTGGTGTAGCCGGTGTCCAGAATCAGCTTGTTGAGGATCAAAGCTTGGATCCGGTCTGCAAAGCCTTGGACATAATTTCCCAATTCAGCACTGTCGCATTGCTCGTCATCGACAAGCCTGAGGAGGACCAGAGCCTCGTCAGTGCAGTCTGCCAACATGCTGAGCTGCAGCACATGCTCAGAAGTCAGTGAGTTCAACCAATTTCTGATGGAGGCACCTGTGGCATCATGCCGCTGCTGGATTATTCGCTGTGCCACGGCAATCACAGCAGGCAGGTTGCTCAGAAGCCGGCACAATGGAGTAGTGTGGGATTCAAAACGGTGTTTCGCCTTGTTTGAAACCAAACTGAAAAACTTGGGACACTAATACTTGAAGATTGGATCAAACCAGCCACTCAACACAAACAGGATTACTTGTTTCCATGGCAAGAGTCTGATTTCAGGTTGTGAGCTGTGCCACCCATCTTCCCCACTTCAATTTCAAACCACTGCCGAAAGACGAAGCTTCCATCGATCACCCTCACAATCGAGTTGCCATGGAGCACGTTGTTATCCATCAACTGGCATAAGTAATCCGATGATTTGAAAGGTCTTTGCAGAACATGCCTGAAGGAATGAGCGTGATCACGAGCTACTAACTTCAGATTGGGCAAGAGTGCATCTGCAGTATCACTTTCAATCTGAAGGGCGCGACGCCCGCGGTTCACATTGCTAGCCGCAATCTCATTTGCCGCGGAATCAGAGAGAACCACTTCAATAGACTCTCTGATGTGTTGATAAAGGTCTGTATCCAGCTCAGGAGTCGGTCCCTCATACCGCCTGGGTGGGTTCTGGAACTTGGTGCAAAAGTTCTGCAGCACCGCGCGTGTCCCCCTGGCCTCAACTGTTTACTTTGAAAGATACAATGACGACGAACAACAATAAGTATATAAACGCAAAGGCACTTGAGTAATAATGAGAAGGAACAGTGCAAAGGAAGCAACAAGACAAAGAAACACACACACAACAAATCAAATAATTACAGAAACAGAGCTCAACCATTGTGCAACCAAATAACGATGTCTCCTGTGCTTTCACCATAGCCTCTGATCATGCCGATGATGCCATAGCCGATCTGAAATGAGTCCTGAGTAGCCGAGTTCCCCGAAAGTAGCCGAGTTCCCTGAAAGCAAATTTAAAATTAACAGCAACATGACTTTTAAATCCCAGGATCCGTAACACCTCCGAAGCGCACCAGGAGTCTTTGGCGTCTCCCATCGCGGGCTATGGAAATCGTGGGGCATTTTCGTAGAAAGTCCCTATCCTTCTGAATGATGGTTTCGTTCAGGCACCAGGCCATCAAGGAGACTTTGTCTGAGCATTGGCCATCCAAACAACCTCGGCTGACAAGCATTGCATCTGATTGGAACCGTTATAATTTAAGTCAAAATTTGTCAACGGACAAAATCATCGAAATATCAAAAAGCAATTTTTGCGACGTGTCTCCTCGTAGCGACGATCCTTGCTGCAGCTTCTTGGACAGGTCCTCAAACTCGGAGAGGGAAGGGCCACATTCATAACTTTCGCTAATGCCAAGGAACTTCTTGCAAGCCGCCACATGTTGTTGCGATTCTTGGTGCTTGGTCAAGTACCACGCGCGAAACTTGTCCACTAGACCAGCAGTTCCCAATGCCCATTCGCTCATAGTATTTGCCTTATTGCATGGTAAGCATCCGCACCCCTTCTTTGTCCCCAGTACCCATGACTGCTTGGCCATCTTCTCGGAGGCAGCAGTAGGGTACACAAAGTCTTTGGGCAAGCAACTGCCAACCAAAAACTTGCTTTCCCAGGCTTTGCGCCTCCGGATCCAAAGTTCTTTGAACTTCTTCCGGAGCTCAGCCGTCTCGTTCGTGACACCCATCGTCTTGATGGGCTTGAGCTTGGACTTCTGTTTCTTACTCTTTGCCGTTTCCTCCTCGTCATAGACATCATCAGCGTCAGATCCGGCCACCCTTTCGTCAGCGACCTTGTCGAAGTCGAGGGAATCAAGGTCCATCGCGACGAGGAGGACAAAGATGATGGTAGTTTGCCAACTTTGAACTCTTATCCTGCAAGAAACCCTTGATGATCCCTCCCTGTTAGGCACAAGCTAGGCACATAATCTCATTGTTCGGCACATGTGCCTAGGTTGTGCCTAAAAAGCTAGGCACATATAACTCCTTGTTCCTAAGGCCTTCCCAAAAACTATAGGCACTTATAGCCCCATTGTTAGGCACATGTGCCTAGGTTGTACCGAAAAAGCTAGGCGCATTATAACTGTTTGTTCCTAAACCCCTCCCAAAATTCACTGAAAGCTTTCAATCCTTAAATGCAACTTGTCAATAATTAGCAGAGTGTATGACTGTAATTTCCAACAAGAATCATCGTCGATGTAAGTTCTCAAATACGAATCTTTTCGTATACTCACGTTGGCAAATTTGGGCCTCAATAGGCTTCGGTGATGCAGGGAAATTGGTGCGGCGGCATCAATTGATAAAAGCTTTTGGAAGCACACCGCAAACACACAACTTTTCAAACCAGGATACAGCGCGCGCCAATGCCACTATTTCTGAACGCACATACACACTAGCTTGTGAGCGAAGCCCAGTATAATGAGAAGATTGGGCCTAAATAAGATGCAATTCAAGATCACTGATTTCCTGTTAAATGCTAGCTGCTCACAAAAATGACTCAGACTCAAAACATTTAGAATTGCAACGGCAAACTTAGCCACTGAATCACCCTGAAAGATTCAGGCAAATCTGGGCCAAAGGCCTCTGAATCACCCATATCGATCCGGGCAAGGCTGGGTCAGGGCCCCTGAATCACCCGACGCTGAGTCGGGCAAGCCCGGGCCAGTAACCACAGAATCACCCGGACCAATTTGGGCAAGCCAGGGCCTGAGACCACAGAATCACCTGAAGCTAATCTGGGCAAGCCAGGGCCAGAGTCCAAAAATCACGACGATCATGATCATGCGAAGACGGCAGCGATGAATCACAGCATGATCAGCAGCGATCCAGCCAAGCCATGGCTCATGGCAATACAATTCAATCCGGATGCTGCATAAAAACTAGTTAATGCCAAGGATTTTAAAGGCAACAACTAGAATATAATCCAATTGTGTGTTTTTAAGTAATATGCTTGGAAAACCAACAAGTTAAAAGAGGCAGCGGTAGATGCACATGTCTGCAACATCTGAGCCTGCTCCTTGAAATGATTCTTACCCGCGTTTGCATCTTTGCAGCCTACACTTTAAACAACTGAACTCGACGATCGGTGGCACCAAAAGAACAAATCGCAACACAATTCTTCCAAATGGTCGCTAAAAAGGTTTTATTTTTCTATTAGTTCTTATTTATCAACTTGTTTTTTAAGTTTTGAAAAGCGGACTGTCAAATCAATGGTTCAAAAGCTGGTCAGAAGCCAAAAAATGGTGAATTGAGGATCAATGGCAAAATCAATTAAAACATTGAACTCCAGTTTGGGTTCCAAAAATGTCATTGACCAAGTGCGTGTTGATTTTCATAATATCGAATGTGAACAGGAAAGCATCATCACCTGAAACATGCTTTCATGTTTCCAAGGACATCTGTCAAAGTTGGCAATCTGTCAAGAGCAACCAGAGCAACCGCTAAACATCAGCAAGAAGAGGCCTTGGGTATCAAGCCCGGTCAAACCTTGGAGCCGTTTTCCACTGTGTTTTTTTGCCAAAGGGTTGCTGACACGCAGTGACGAAAAGCTTTCCTGTAGGTCAAGAAGCATAGCCGGCTGATGAAGAAGGCGCAAGGCCTGACGGTGGCGGACCTTGCTTGGCTAGTGGCCCAACGTGCTTCCGAGTGAACGCGGCCAATTGCAGAACCTTGGTGAAGCCATGCAGGGGTGCAGCACTTTGGGTTCTACGTCAGGGTGCTCTTTGCGCAATGGTCTCTGCGATCTTGCGACCGGGCGAAGCCCGGGTGTGGACGCATGTGTCACTTCGCTTCTAAAAGAAGCAATGAACCGTTCATTGTACATGCACGCTTGCTGTAACTGAGCTGGTGGCGTGACTTGAATCAAAAAAGGCCACCGTATGAATGCGCGCTCCTTTCAACCATGCTGGCACTGCGAGGGGACATGCTTTGGAAGCTGGAAATTAATAGTTTTCGTGGCCTTGAAATTGGTACCCTGTCGCAGTCACGCCTTTTCGCCGCAGCATTTCCGAAGCCTTCCGAGTGCTAATCACAATGGCAGGGATGAAATCGGCGCAGGGCATTGAAAAATAGGCCCATGCCTTCCGAATGCAAATCACAATGGCAGGAATGAAAATAGGCCCAAGCAGTGGCCAAATAGGCCCAAGCCTTCCGATGGCAAATCGCAATGTCAGTGATGAAATAGGCCCAAAGATTCTCTGAAATAAGTTATCTTTTAACTTTTCTCTTTAAAATTCAGAGACTTCTTGGGCCTATTTCTGCCCTACCATTAGGAATTGTTCCCGAACGCTTGGTCCTATGCTTGGGCCTATTTCATCTCTCACATTGTGATTTGTGTTTGGAAGGCTTGGGCCTATTTTGGCGACTTCTGCTCCCTACCATTAGGAATTGGCCTACGCCCTTACCTTTTTAAGACATTGAGACAATTGTCCCCCACCATGAGAGGACGAACGCCAAATCCTCCTCTTACGCGAGTTCTCCGACTTTGAATCAACAGCAAAATCACACGAGCCGCTATGTCGCCTGTTGGGCGATGGCGAATGCAGTGACCACTTTCAAGCCACCCTCCTGAGAAAGAGTTGACACCCCAGACCTGGCAATTCAATAGGCTACTCTCAAAACAGTCTTTTCCCAAAACAAGCCACATGGATGTTTCCTGTTACACTTCTTCACTACAAATCCCCCATGCCCCCTTGTAATCAATGTTAGTAAGCGACATGGTTGCTTTTTTTTACATCTCCAGTACAACTCCCCCATACCCCCTTGTCATCAATGTTACTGTTACAGATGTTCTGAAACAAAGCGGCCACCCCCAAAACACGCCTTCAACATTGCTTTCATGGGGGGTGCGGGGGACGTCAGTGTTCAATCACGGAGCTTGGTACTTGAGAAAGAGACAGCTTCAAAACTTGTGACTGGAGGTGGGCTTGAGAATTTGTAATTGGCTGAGTCTCCGCGTGAAAATTATAAGTAGCCGGAGGCATCCGCAAGTGTACGGAAGAGAAGGAAGAAAGGAAACATATTGCAGGCGGCTGTCAATTCGCATCAGGTCACACCACATGATTCTTATGACAATTAAAGCCAGTCTCTTTTCCCTTTTCCAGCAACCCGAACAGAAGAAGGAGCAATTGAAACCGGGAATGTGATTCCATGGGGTCTGCGATTGGTGTTCTATATTGTTTCGGAAGAACAAGCATATGTTATGCTACAATCGGGCGCATCGGCGGCCTAGAAAACGAGTCCGCGTTCGCAGGCCTTTTGAGGCTTCAGACTCTCGGGCCCCGGTTGTATATATATATACACACATGTTTGAATGCATGGTTCTATTTTGTGAGGATATGACAAAGCGGTGGAGAATGTGTGCGTGCAACTCGAAGCAGATGCATTTCTCAGCTGCGCAGCATTGCAGGACAGTTTGGATAGCCTATTTATAGCTGTGAGCACCGTACTTTTGTTGGTTGCTAAGAGGTTTGACAAAGACTTTGCCCTACACCTGGATTTGCCTGGGAACGAGATAAGGGCCCTCAAAGAAACATAAAAACATAAGATAATTGCCTCACGTTTTGTTGTGATTGAAGCAAACGTGTTTCAGCCATTGGACTCGTAAGCTTGGTTGCATGCTTCGGGCTAACCCTTGCATACTATCTTGTTTTTTTGCCCCAGTGTTATTTTTTCTCGGAGGTTGAGTGTGGCAGCTCTTGAAAGCCCTCCGCCCGCCCGCCCGCCCCACATTTTTTGAAGCGCAAGTGCTGGGTTTGTAGTGCACGCTGCTGGGGCGCGTGCCCATGTTATTTCAAGCAAACCCAAGTACTTGGGGGGAGGTGTGGGTTGCTGAGTGCACTGGCTTGGAGCCGCTGCCCCCAGCAGGCTAGCGAGATCCAAAAACAATAGCACAATCAATCGTAAATACCTGAAACCTCTAAGAAGAGATTGCACCAGACCAGCCTCATTTGATTGCACCGCCCGCTAATTTGATGCACAGGCTGCGTTTGTTGGGTTCCTAACCATCAGCAGGAGCAGAGGTGTCATGTCAGAGTCAGAGACGCACAACTATCATCGACACTTAGGACATTTTAGAACAACAAGCTCCAAGATCACACAGAGCATGCAAGACGCTGAATTTCAACTGTTGGCTTAACACTCCATCAACCAAACTGTGGATTGGTGCCTTTCAGCCACCAGGATCTGCGACAACTACCGGTAGATGTGTTTGATACATTGGAAGGAACCTCAGACAGATGAAGGTTTCCTTGTTCTGGCAAATGCTGAGTAGTTGTGTGTGTGTTTGGAAATTGGTTTCCTGGCATCATGTGATTGGACGCCCGCCCATCTATACCGCTACATGATCGAGCCACTCAGGAGAAGAGACTCAAGAAATGCAATCAAGTCAAAGACCTTTTTTGGGAGCACTTGGAACAAAGCCCACCAGGCGAGATTTCAGATTTGCCGTATGTCCAATGGCATTTGGCACGCTTGTGATATGTTGTTTTCGATAAATTATCGATGTTGTTTTTAGGAGTGGCTTACTTTACATTTACACGAAGCAAACGCCTACAACAACGAACAACCACGGCTTTGTGGTACGTAGTTTGTTTAGAGCTTTGCCACTTGGCACGCTAGCTTGCCTAAGGTTATATAAGTTTCCCTAAAAATCTAGGAAGCAAATGAATAGAAGCGTGAGCTATCCTGCGTCCATGCTAGTAGCTTAAGTAAGGTATTAGTGACTCCCTAGCTTCTACTAGCTACCTCTAGGTACTACCTCCCTCTACGGCCTACCCCCCAGGCTTTAAAAGGAGAGACATATGTGGTTGAACTTCAGATTCTCCAAGAAGCATGGACCTCCAAGAAGCATCGTGTCCTTATCACAACGGGTACCAGGCATCGTGTGGACATTTGGAGCCCACCATGCTCCAAAGTCGTGTGAGCCAGATGCTTCGACTTTAGCCAGACAGCGCATCAAGCAGTATCAAATGCAATATTGGTTACCACAATACAGTTATATACGACCAGCAGATACCAGCAGTTTGTTTTGGTTTCACCTTGCTTCACTTGTCCTACAGTTTCAAGGTTTTTCGGTAGCGGCTGTCTGAGTTTGTTTGGCAGGGTAGTGGGCCCAGTACGTCAGGATTATGTTCAAAGGCCCTTTTTGTACATTTGCTAGATGTCTTTGAGAGCTTGTTCCGCCCAGCCGCCGCTCTGGTGATGCAACCCTTGGCAAAGCAGATATGTATATAATATTATATAATTATCATCTCCCAAACACCCTGACCCCTAGCAAACACATTGGAACCATTCGTTTACCAATGAGCGGGGTAAAGCAACAAAGAATAAACTCGATTGTTCTTTCAAGGATGGACCTGACCTGGCATCAAACTTGATTTGCAATGGTTGGGCTGGAATTCTGGTGGAAGGAGCGAAAGATTGAATGAATCCAAGGGGCGTGAGGAAATTGTGAAGAGTTCATTGTCAAACGTTTTGTGAACATGCGTCATGTGATGCATCGCGCACAAGTAGGCACTTCGCCAGGACACCCTTCACGTCGAGCAGTGCTTCAGAATCTCTTCGGGCATCGTCATGAGTTGGCGACTTGGTCTTTTTCTACCCGGATGAATTGTTAAATTGGCTCCAACCAGGCCAAGAATGGTCAGAAAGCTATAATTATCACCAGGAAGCATGTGATTGTTCGGTTCCTAGTTTCACATATATATATATGGGTACCCATATATGGTTTGTGAGATTCTTGCGGCTTTCCTTTCAGTGGCTACCAATAGCCACCAGCTGAAGACATTCACGATGAAGATGCGATGGCGTCGCACAGTACATATTTCAAGACCGTCCTTTCCGCAGTTTTTGTCTGCCCCTTGTTACGTTTCGACCCAGTCAAGGTGATCTTGTCACAACTGGCAATGAGGGATACCGTTGGAAGCGTTTTGGAGGATGCCACCTGGAACAATCCACAGCTCAGGAATCAGGAGGTCTGCGAGATCTGACCAGCTGGCTTGTCGGAACCACATGTCGCCACATGTACAATTGCAGGGAGGTGGATAAGGGGTCATGGTATCCCATAAAACGTTTATGGTCCCTGCCCAGGGGGGCGTGGGGGTTGGGTTTTATAGAGGAAAGCTGCTTGTACCCTAGAAAATTTTCACCGGAGTCCCTCAACAGGAACACGCCGGCCCCGCTCCGCTCACGCCACCTGCTTGCTACCACTTGCTTGCTATAGACATCATGATTGGAAGGGTACTCAAAAAGTCAACTTTTTGCGGACCCCCTTTTTGAACACAGAATGTGGTAGAATATACACCAGTGCTGCCACCAGGAAAGATCCAGGCTCGGGCTACCACCTGCTTGCTATAGACATCATGCTCAAAAAGTCGACTTTTTGCGGACCCCCTTTTTGACCACAGAATATGCTAGAACGCACCAGTGCTGGCACCAGGCCCTGGAACCACCTGTGGAGGCAAGGCTTTCCTGACTTCTGTGGGATCGAAACGGAGGGATGGGTCTCTAAAAAACATGGGTGCTACCCCCTGGGTGGAGAATATGCTAGAACACATCGCCGACCGCTCACCGGAGTCCCGCAACAGGAACACTCCGGCCTCGCTCCGCTCACGCTCACGTTCCTGGGCCTAGACTGGGGTCGGCGGAGTTACAACAATTGCATCCTGCTATTTTCTACTGTAGTTGCCCTTTGTAAAACTATTGCGGACTCGAAAAGGGAATCCGTGATGCGGTTCCCAGGCGACCGGAGGCGCCTGCAACCGGAGTCTCCTATCTATATATAAATATATACCGCAATATATAGATTTCTATGTTGTTAAATGGCCTTCGGCCAGGTCCGCCACCCCAAGGAATCAAGGAGGCTTTGGGCTGTAAGAACAAAGCGGTGAGTGCCAGGATTGATATGGACAAGGTCCGGCACAGGGATGGGACTCTATAAAATCACTGGGTGCCACCCTCTGGGTGGAGAATATGCTAGAAACTGCTAGAAGCATTAATGCTGAAGCAAAGAGTTCTGTTAGCGCCCATCCAAGATCATGCAGGCGCTCCGTGCCTTGTTTTTATGTGTTTTCTTGTCACTGCTCAGGCGCATGGTGGCCTGAGGTTGAATGATTTTATAGAGAGCTATCTGGGGTAGGGCCTGCTCACTTTATACACCCTACGAGGTGACCACCACCATTTCATATCTATAAAGTCACTGTCAAGACCCCCCTATATATCCACAAAAAATCACAGAGATACAGTTGCTGAAAACGTTGCTACAATTGGCAAACATACAGCCACCTGCAGAAAATACAAACTGCCAGCGCTCCAATCAATCAAAATCATGCGTCGGGTTGGAGTGTGCCCCTCAAGTAGAGTGAGTGACAACGGTAACGTGTTGACGGTTTGGTAGGTGGATTTGCTGCAAATCACATTTGGAGCCAATGATTGCGAGATCATCCGTGGCATTTTGGAACGCTCATGTCTGAGCTGGGTTGTGTATGTGAATCAGCAGAGAGTCGGTCAACTTGGCCGATAAACAGCAATTGTGAAAGCCGATACGGGCATGAACCATTGCCATGCTTGCTGTGGACGAATCTTGGTAAGGGGGCTTCCGACCACGCTTTGTGCGTGCAATTTTTTGGCATCCTGTACCTCCCCCACTGGTTTATCAGCCTCGCCCGGTTCCCCAGAAGCTCAGAAACGTGCTTGGTGCTTTTAGCGATTTTACCTCGCAAGCCTGATGCAGAGAACCCTTGCAGTGCAACAATGTAACCAAATGTCTCCAAGAGGATTCATTGAAGCTGGATCATCGAGGTTTCTCGGCAACTGTCCTTTCTGTCGTTCTCATTAGATTTCTTGGGTTTTCCACTCAGACTGCAGGTGTGCATCGGCTTTTGGGAGACTGGTATGAGGATGCTTTTGAGGCTAGGGCCCAGAAGAAAGACGGGTGTCACTAGTACCGCAGCAACCAGAATCATCGAAGATTTATAACTCAACCCCAATCTAGGTATTTGCTTTTCTCGGTGGAATTGCTAGAGGCTGCCCATAAGCTTTGAGATTTGGCCTGAGCTATTGCTGTTCGGGTCCATGAATTGCGCGTTAGGCAACAGGGGAAGGCTGCTCGCTGCAAGCAGTGGCAGATTCATTGTTACTTGGCAATAATCAACTCAAACTCCATCCCGTATCCAGGACCTCTGAAATCAAAGCTCAAGTAGAATATATCTATCATCTATGTCTTACTATTGTTCAATCCCCTTTTATAAACTTGTACATTTTTCAGGAGTCCAACTTACTTATATATATATATGTATGACAATGCCTGTCCCCTTTGTTATTTCATATGCACTTATTTTTCCATCCACTGCATTGTACCATTCATCTCCAGGCCTGATTTTGATCATGCTCATTGCATACTTTTGTGTCCCACAATTTTGCATCATTTGCATCAACAGATCCCTGACAAGCAAGCAAATGACACTTCCCAAGCTAAAGCTATATATAGGAGTTTTGTGAATGTGACCCCACACACAACAGTGCCCGTCAGGTCCGGGCAGACTTTACCTTGCATCCCGTCCACCTCCTCCTCCTCCTCCTTCTGCCCCTTCTCCTCACACCAACTCATCTCACACCAACTTGCCCACTCACCCATCCACCCACCCACTCACTCACGCACCGATGAAAGTATACGTTCACCGACGTACTTCGCATTTTTGCTCATCATCTGCATACACTCATCCGCTAAGACTCCTCGTCCTTCCGCTTTTGCTTCCACTTGTTATGAGCACAAAAGCGTCACATGTGGGTTATCTAGTCCCTTCTGCCTTTCAGTGGCACCACAGTGTCCGTTGAAGCCTACACTGTAAGGGTTCCCAAAGCTGAAAGGACAAGGTCAAATCCATAGGCAGCCATTGTTCTGCAACTTTTGGGCTATATACATGTGGGTGTCCCCTTGCATATTGAAAAGGCCGGCCACAAGATGCCCTGAGGACTGATCACTACATGTTTTGGGACTTTGATGGTCGTGCCTTGTCGCGTCACACTTTCACCGTTTGGCAAATGTTTTACCTTTGCAGTCGGGCAAAATTTGTCCAACCGTATTGTTCTCGACCGGTGGGTTGTTTGTTGAACAAGGCGATTGCGAGAAGGCAGGGAAAGAAGAGAGCGAGAGAGAGAGAGAGAGATCCACAGGGCGTGAATGGGTGCATTGCCTTGCGCACAGAAAAACGCATTTGGAAAATAAGGCAACATGTTGGGCAAACGGGTGGTTTTGCCCCAACAGCAACATGCACAGGGCTAGAAAAGCATCCGTTTTACAGAGTGTTTTGCCTTTCGGGAGTTCATGAACTCCAGGACAATGACTTGAGTGGATTTTCAAGACACCCAAATAAGACCAGGTCTGCTGTTCAGTCTCTCCCGCTTTTTGCCTTTCGGGAGCAAACATCAATGTGGACGTCCAAAAAAGGGGTCAGCCGCGAAAAAATCCCTCAGATGCTGATTGGGGGAAGGGCACTTCAAACCGGACAAACGCAACAAAAGTACTAACAACAAACACAAACAAACCTCAAACGTGGAGCCCACCTCTAAGCCGAAAGTGTAACGCGAGTGTCGAGTCACGAAGCCAAAAGCGCAACGCGAATCTCGATTTAAGCGAGTAAAACCACGAACGAAACGTCACGAAGCCGAAAGCGCAACGCGAATGTCCATTTACGCGAGTAGTAACACGAGCGAAACTGTCCCCAGCCCGCCCCCAAGAAAAAGACTTGTTGGACTGTCGGGAAGGTTTGCTTTCAGGGCAAATCCCCCCGGTTGTTCCAACATGCGGGGGGTGTTGCCCGGAAAGCAAACGTTTCCGACCACGGAACAGGGTTCTCCGGAGGGTGAGGGGGGGTTGGGGGGGCTGGGGACAGTTTCGTTCGTTTTACAGTGTTACAGTTCTAGTTGCGCAAACCGAACTTCACGTTTCTGTGCCGGCGTCGTGACGTTGCATTCGCAGTTAATTTGATCTTCGCGTTGCGCTTTTGGGCGTTGCGATGCGAAGCTGCAATGAGAGCACGTTGAAGGCCTCGCAGCATTGCGGTTCAGCCAACATCCAGGGTGGGACTCAATGCTACAGGCTGTGGAAATATATATATATATATACAGAGAGGCTGTAGCTCAAATGTACAGGAAGCTGCCATGACTCAATTAGGAAGAGGACTGATGTCGTGGCACATGGGACTGACTGGTCATTGGATGGTCTTCAATACAATGCACCCAAGTTATCGTGTTAGAGTTAGTGGACTCCAAGACGATGAGTTGAGTGCCCCAAAGCCCAAGATACCCTATAAAATTCATTGTTATCTGGCCCTTTGCATGTTGCAGTCCGCGCAAACACCCGCCGCTTACCCAACATGTTGGTATACCACGGTATATACTTGGCCTCACGTTGTGCTACAGGTTTATGATTGTGACATTAGAAGAAGGCTGCACTATGCTGTACTGAACTCCATTTGGGTCAATTCGGTGTGTGCTGCCAGCAGTGCCAACCCAAGCCACTTCGACGAGTTGGGCCCGGGTTCAGGCCAACTTTGTGCGCAAGGACTTGATGGACCTGTTGCCGACAGACCAAATTTTCAATGAAGCAGAGTTGGATCTCCAAGCTCGTTGGGCTGCAAGGCCCGCAAGGTTTCATCAGTTCCACCAGCAATTGGAAACGACCTGTGTCTCATGACCGCCAAGGATGTCAATCTCCATGGTCTGTGGGTCATTTGGCTTTGACCCACCTCCACATGTCGACAAGCACAACGAATGGCAACATATGGCAATATGTGGCCATCGATTTGTTCTGAGAAGTGCCCATACGCATAGCCTCCATCGCTGTACTGGTCTAGATCCTCCATGAAACAGCCAAGATTAGGTTTGTGTATTTGGATGTATTTGGTTGGTAGCACCTCGAAACGACTTGCAGGTTCAACAACACGGCGTGTTTCCTCAACAATCATGTGTTTGACACCTTGATGGTGGACCCGCGGTTGATGCAGGAACCGCCGGGAATGCCAAGCCATGGAGGGTGATTTCAAGATAGTAGGGTCACGAGTCACCAGATGTACCAATTCGACCGGGACCCCACCAAGCAGCGTCACTGTCACATAGTGTTACTGGTCAGCATGAAGCTACAAGCAACATCAAGCAACAGGAAAGGCTTTCCAAGCACAGGAAAGGCCAGAAAGGTGTCTAACCGCTCGAGGCCAAACTACCGCGTGAAGGGACCTGGGCTCATAAGAGACTGTTTTGCTTTGAAAATAGGGTGTCCTGAACAAGGAAAAACAATTGCAATATTTTAGGACAATTACACACATGCACTCACACCATGCCGTCACTATTTGTCTTGGAACATCTTGGAGCAGTTTTAACCACAAAGTGGACAGTTCAGGCCTCCGCATGATTCCCGACTAGGCTCAGTTTGTTTATTGCTTTCACACACACGCTATTGGAGGCATGCAGGTGCCAGCTCTAAGGGCAGTGTTGTCCAATCTCTGCAACAAACACCGGCTGAGATCCGCAATTTGGCGTTCTCCACGTTTTGGTCGTTTGTCAATCCACCGCGTAGGATCCTGACGCTACGCCCTCAGAGCAGCTCAGCTCGAATTATTTATATATATATGTGTGTGTATATATATATACTACTAGTAGCAGCGATGCCCTTGTTACTAGTAGCGATGCCCTAGCTACTGGTGATATATATATATAAATATGTTTTTGGGTTCCTTGGCATCCATGGGCACAGCGGCACAGCATAGCGTGCAATCTTGCACTCTTGGCCTCTTTGGGCTGCTCCCAAGTGATGCATGACGTGGTTGGAAGGATTCGCCGAACAACAGCGTTTCATTCATTCGTTGCGGTTGATCATCCGGCGTGCGTCGTACGTGACTCAGGAAGCGCTTGCTGTGGGAGCTTCACTTGAAGACGGTCCAAAGAACGGATCAACTCTGGATCAAAAAAGCAAGCGATTGCTGGTGCATGCTAGTGGAGGAACATGGACAGCAGCACGGAAACTGTTGTAAGTTGCGTAACTATTGATTGGCCTTATATAAGCGTTTTTTGGACCTTACGTTGTGGTGGTGATTGCTCGTACTTGTAACAGCATAACACCCGCAAAGGAAAAGCAGCTTTGCTTGCTCAATCATCATGTTTACCAGATTCTCACATAAAATGTTCTTCTCACAACTATGCAAACTCACCAGCAAGGAAGACCCTTGGCTTTGATTGCGATTGTCAGTTGTCTTTCGCGAGCAAAAAGGTTCTCAAAGGAGCTACAGCATGTTGTGGCTTCACCGTACAGGGCATCCTGTTGCACAGGATCCTAGAAGTGAAGGTTGACGAGCCGCCCCTCAAGCTGTCCACAGACATGTCGTGATCCCAGCCATTTGTTGAGATGTGTTGTTGAGGATGTTGACAAAACCATTTCAATAATTGAGTGCATGCTGCTGGTCGCGCGATGTTGTTTAAGCCTTGGAGTTTGCTGAAAAACTCTCCTTATTATGATCGCCTCTCATGCTGTGCTGTTGCACCTTGGGAAGGTGCACTGATCTCGATCCAATGTGTGTTTGCCTAACCTGTTGTTATCCTTTGCTTTGGAAGCTTCTATGGTCAGGATGTTTGTTGTCGACGATTTAAATAATGCATCTTTTGCAGCTGAAGCCTTCCTGTTCCACAATCCTGCCATTGAGCTCACAGCTCACTTCTACCTGGCTTCAAGTTGCCACCAACCGTCTATGTCTTGGAACTCTTTTTCATAATCTACGGGTTTCTGTTGTTGCTTCGCTTGTTTGCATTCTTGACTCTGACGCTTAATGATGTGTTTGGCTTCATGTTGCCGTGTATAGTTTGCTGCTCATTTCTTTGAAGTACAATATAAAATATAACCTATATATACAAATACTGTGTATACATATATATATATATATACGCATGTTTTCTGAAGGCCATGAGTTTCGTGCAAGTAGGTTCAGTGGCACTGTGTGGGCTGGATCTGCGTGGTCGCCTCAGCCAAGAATGCTTCCTAAGAGTAACCCAGATATCGTGAAGTCACAGAAATCCAAAGCAGCAACCCAAAAAAACAAAGTTGAAAGTGGGTGTCAAGTCCGGAGGAACAATCTGACTCGGACAAGAGATCTTGCACGCGATTAACATGTGAAGATGTGCTTTTGGTTCAGGGCTGATCTTGATTTGTGGCCAGACGCCTGTGCCGACTGCATCGGTAATGGTATCCGGAGCTTGTGCGATTTGGGCGCACTCCGCATTGCTTGCGTTTTGTGTCCTTTTGACCGTTGCTCGTCCTGCATTGGGTATAAGCTGCGCTTGGCGCCCTGACATTGTGTTGAGGAGGAGAACTCAATGTTGCCCTTGGCTTTACAGGTTGTTGACAGTTAAGCTGGCTTGAGCAGGGCTAGACCGGAATCCGTTTATACACACCTTTCATCCTTTTTTTGCACGGCCTTGAACATCGAGGATGGCTGAGACAGATGAGAAAGGCAGCTCGGCATGGGACAAGGTGCCCCCATGGGACGGCAATCCAGCCGGATTCCGGGCATTCAAACGCGAGATGGGGTGGTGGCAGGTATTCTTGGACATTGGGTCAGACATGGTTGGACAGGTGTTGTTCGCGCAAGGCGCGGGGAAAGTCAAAGACATCAGAGTTAGCACAGGACACCCGAGGTTCGTGGAGCTGATCCCGATACAGGTGAGGAGATAGCTCTTGAACCGCCAGATCCTCCAGCGGGCGTTCGGAAGTTGATGATTGCACTCGAGGAGTCGAGGGCCACACAATGCTGGACCGGAAGGGGGGCACTCAGGAAATAGTTTTATTACACTGTACTTCGCTGCCGTCTCAGGCAGGCAACAACTCCTACAAATCCTCGTTCCCCAGTGGTTCGCAAAGAATTTTCCAATCAGCGCGCAAGGTTCCTCAGTGATCAGCGTTGATTGCTACCAATGAGGAGGTTGACGACGAGGAGATTAAAAAGAGCTTGTGTCGGCTGCTGGAGCAAGAAGGTCTTTGGCCCGATGCGATCGAGGGATTGGAGTGTGAAGTGGAGCAATACAGGAGATGAGTTCACAGTTCGGGCGCTCTAGACAGTGTTTGCAATCGGGCATGTCGCGAGACAGTTTGGTTGGAGCATTACGTTTGCGCGTTGCATCGCCTCGGGCCATCAGAGATTTGGCGTCGCAACGTCCTGAGCAGGAGACCTTCAGGTTTGGAGAAGACGGCAGGACACAGAAGAGGGCAGTTCGATTCAAATTGCCAACGCTTGCTGAAGAAGATCTTATTCTGACATGGGTGTCAGCGGTTCCTGTCGGAAGTTTGGGGTTTGTTGTTGGGGTGCCACTTTCGACCCCAGCTTTGTAAAGCAATCTTCCAAGAAGAAGACCAGCGGTCGATGCAACCCTTTAGAGCTTTGAGTACTGGTGGTCCAATGGTGAGCCTCATCAACATGTCCGAACAGCCAGGTTGGCATATCAAATACGGTGGATCGATGGCGATCCATGTGTGCAGGAACGCGGTCATACAGAGTCGCTTCTCGACGATTTGACCCCCAATCTTTATACCCTCAGAACACCAACGGGTGATTTGACCCATGGACCATGGAGGACGGGAGGATCCTGGAGGATTGCACCGCACCTTGAACGGAAAGCCAACATTGATCATTGATTGATTGGCGATCATGCTGCGGTCCTGGTCGCCTTGTTCTTGAAGCTCAAACCTCTGAAGTAACATAAGAAGGAGTTGACTGAACATGGGCTTTTAGCTCAGGGCGTTTCAGGGCTGAAACTGATTTGCGGCCGGGCTGTCACTGCTTTGCTTTAATTAGTGGCCTTAGCCTTAGCCACTTTACGCTCCGCAGTTCATGCAAATGGACCCCTGTGCCGACTGCGTCGACAACGTGGGTTGGGTGATTAATTGGCGCGGGCTTGCTGTTCTGCCTCGGATTACCTTGCCGTTGAAAAAATGCTTTTCTTCTCTTCTGTTCTACAGGCGTCAGATCGATGCCCACAATATTCCATTTTCCAAGGAGCCGGACCCTCAGTTTTTTGCACAGGTTTAACAGAATAAAGTCAAAGATCAAATCGTTGTACATGCAAACACCTGACTACTTCTGGGTTCGGGGCTGCGCCTTCAGGCTGCAGAATGACATTGCTGAGCAGCTTTACAGTGCCTTCAAGCAAGGCAACCGTACAAAGTGGACATAAATTGAGCTGGCATGGCAATCTGTCAAAATTTGTCATCCAGAGCTGCTGGTGCTTTGTGCTGAACCAGGCAAAGGACAACGCGACAACATCATCGCTCTCGAAGGTGCTAACTGGTAGGGTCAAAACTGGATTAAGATCGATGCTCTTAAAGGACAAAAAAGGATATGCGTTTGATTCGATACCCACAAAACCCACCCTGCACAAATGGATGATGTCTAAACGCCCTCGTGCATATTTTAACGGTTCTTTGAAGTCAACAAAAAAATACCGCCCCAAAGACTGGTGAAGGCGATTGTAGTTTTGTTCGAAAAGGCACAGGAAATTGAAACCTTGATGGTACACTTGGTTTTTGGATCTTCAAGTTCGCCTTCCAGGAGGGTGGGGCAGCCTTTTTGTTCGTTCCCCTTTGTTGCAACCACACCATCATTTTTTCTCCCCAAACATTGCCAAGTATCGTCAAATATCATCTATGAAAATTCCGACAATTTTTTGCGCATGAGAATTTTGCACGTGTCCCTCGTTTCAGACACAAGAACTACATGTCCTACAAACCATGCCTGACCTTTGGCTCCGATGTGTTGTTCCATGCTGATCAACAGAGTGGTACAATCGCAATCGTCCATCCACTAGAATATGGACACATGGGGTCGTGAAAAATTCGCAGTCTCAGGGGGGTTGTTGGCCCAGGGTTGGTTGTACGGTTTGACTCATTGCGTTGTCAGTGACTATTTCGAGATTCGGCAAGATGCAGGTGAAGATGCCAGCCTCGGCATGGGTAAGTATTTGTTTGAAGAGCGCCAGCTTCCTAAATTGACGAAGCTGAATGAGACAGAATTTAAGTCAAAAAGAATTCCTGTTTGTTGGAAAGAGTGGTCTGTGATGTGATGAATTTCAAGGCAATGGACAAGAACTTGGCACTTCATATGGAGCTCTTTCTGTCTCCGGAGCCCAGCTCTCAGTTCTGAGTGACATGAAGTACTGAACGATCCTTTATGATCCTTCCATGTCTGCCAGTGAGAACATTGCTAGTTTCGAGGAAGATGGTGGGCAAACTAATCTCACCATGTGGTTCAAGCGTGAGGTGTGGCCGAGTGACATTGCTGCCACTCATAAAGCCAGCATAGTCTATTTCCATTGCTGTTTTCACGCTTTCTTCTCACAGGAACTTGCAATTTGCCGACGAGCATGGCTTGTTGCCAGGCTTACCACGCTGTTCCTGCCATGGTGAACCTTTGGAACAATGCTCGCATGCAACTCCTTGGCAGGGGCCTTTATATAATCTGGCTTGATGCTAGCTGCTCCTTTAATGTGCACATTGTTGCTTTTGCTTCAATTGCGAGGCATGGAAGGCAGCAAAGTGCAGGTTCGCAGATGTTCCAAGAATGTTGAGATTATAGTATGCTAGTATAATACAATCATGCGAACTCAATTCCTTCAAGCAATGAGTTTCACAATCAATGACGAATTTTGACGTAACATTTGTGTCTAGAGCTTTGCGCAGAAGTCACGAGGCATTTTCCACCAACTTGTCAGGTGTCCAGTCACCCTTTGCCGAAGACCCAACAGCTGGTCCAGGAAGAAATGTCTGGAGGCCGGAGTTGCCCAAGCTTGTGTGATGAACAGATTGCTGATTTGGTCCCCTGGTTTGAATTGATCCCCGGCTACTCTTAATTATTGCTTCAAAGTTTGGCGGAGGGTACAAAAGATTCACAAACTCCCAGCTCGTGTCAGCTCCAAAAGCCACGTGGAGCCCAGGAAGCCAGGTGCTGACTGACTTGTTCGTGGCCCTCACAGGTCAGGACCCGGGATCAGTTGCTAAAGCCTAATTCGCAAATGAATGCATATGAGTTTTTTTGGCGGTTGCTTTTTTGCACGGGAGAAATGAGAAAGA